TGTGAATAAATAACCAGGTTACTATTTACCTCTTACTTATTCATGTCGGGGGTGTAGATATCTGGAGCCCTCTTATGTTAAAGGGAGCTTCCAGATTCCAGTCCCCCAAGCTTTGTTATGCGTCTGATATGGGTTTTTTTTTAAAGGAGACCCCTTGCAAAAAAAAAGATTTAGTTTCCACCATAAAAATTAATACGAGACCTTAATCTTAGATAGAGGTCTGATATGGATTTTACAGGAGACTCTACACACCAAAAAAACATACAAAAATGTGGATGCCCCCTCACAATTCATGCCAGACTCTTATCCAGGCACGCAACCTGGCTGGCCAGGAAATGGAGGGGCATTGAGATGGCACCCCCTCTCCTAACCATAGCAGGCCAAATGTCTTCAACATTGGGAAGTACTTTGCCAGGCCCCTGACCCTGGCAAGGCACCATATCCCCATATTATAGGACCTCATCCCCACATCTTGTCTGCAAGCATCATTGGTTGGACCGAGGCAGCCCAAGCTGCACAGAGTCATTAGTTATTATGCTGCAGGTGCGCACCAGCATTCTAGCAACCAATGATGGGCGTTGCACCTGGTACAGCCCTTTGCAGGTAGTTGTCACTTAATGATGGTAATAATTCCACCACCTTCCAGGTGCAGCATCTGAGGCCCGAAAAGAACGTGAAATGGTGGGCGAACTGCGAACAACTTGGCTTTAGAATAATCTATGTACTTCTGCACCAGAATCCCAATGCAATAAGATGGGTGCTGGTATGATCACCGGATGACGATGCGCAAAAGTATGAAGTAGTCACCTGCACAGCAAGGTCCAACGAAACCAATAGTTCTGAAATGTTGCTGTCCACTGGTGCTACCATATACTGTATGTTTAGCCTCTGAATAAAGGAGTATAATACATTGGACCTTGGTGTGTGGGTGACTACTTCATACAGCTTTTGTTTAGGACCAGCTCATGGTTGACCCGAACCCAAACCTCATCCCTAGCTGCTACTTGTCTGCAATCTGTCTTGGATTCTGCTGGACAGTGCCCAAAATCAGACTACTGACCCGTAGGATCTGGCCTTCTCGACAGGTACGGGTATGGTCACTGATCATATGATTATGGAAGTTGAGCCTCCCACTTAGTACAATGGCATGGCCTTTCTCACACAGGGGTAGGGGTACAGTTCTCTAAAATCTTTGTAGTGAATGTATTTGTCTTATATTAAAATGGTTTATGAAAACTGAAGTTTTACTTTCAATGGTGAACTTGCAGCAATACAACAGAGTCCACAGTAGTCAGGGCAAAATAAACTCTGGTTGTCTTACTCCCACTGGAACACATCTCCAGAGGGTTGCTTCAAAATGAAGATATCTACACACTAACTGACATGACCTCATAAAAATTTAATGAATGCAGCTTCTATAGACAGCAGCATTATAAAAAGAGAGATAAAGGAGCTACTTGAAAGAAGAAGCCAAAGAACTTCTTCTGCATCTCATATCTTAGTAGCGGGAAACATCTCTATGCTTACAGTTTGGGTAGAGGTCCTGCATCTACAGTGGAACGCTTTGATCCACAGGTAAGTGTGTCTCTTCTTCATATAACAAGGTCACCTAAAGCTAAACTCCAGGCAAATATAAAAGACAAACAAAAGAAAATGACTTGAAACCCTCCGAGAGTTATATATTTCTTGAGAGCAGAGACCCAGTTGCAAATGTGTAAATTGCATGATATTAGCTCTATTAACTCTTTATCGAACCCAAAATATCAGTAAAAATTACACTTTAGTTAATTTTAGTGCACAAAAACACAATATAATACATATTTTTGTGTAAAATATGAAGGTTGTTGTAAGGGATCCCCGACCGGGTGCGCACGTTCTCGTATGGTTCGGGACCACGCGCATGCGCAGAAGTGGTCAACTACCAGCACGGAAACGCGCCATAGTGGCGCACAGGAAGTGACTCATCACAGCTAATCACTTCCCCTATATAAGCTCAGCCACAGCACCACCATGTTGCTGGATTATCGTCAGCTATCTCCTGTTCCTGTGATCCTGTTATTCTTGCTTGACTCTTTGTGACCCAGAATTCCCTGACGACTCCTGCTTGCTGCCTGCCGTTGACCTCGGAACTGCTCTTTGGACTACGCTTTTGCCTGACCCCTCTACCTCGATTGCCCGTTTGGAACTGACCTCGGCCTGTCCCCTCGGATTATGGCGTGCACGTGCTCGTCACCACTGGCACTCCTGCCACTTGCTGTCCTCTTGGTCTCTGTTCCCATCCCCAGAGTCCCCAGGACACAAGGTGCAAGGGAAGCCTCCTCTCACATACGGTCTCCAACCAGGTACATGACAATTGTGCTGAGTAAATATGTACCCAACATGTAGGTAGGTGCAGTATGGCCAACGTCCACTAGATGCCCCCATGGGGCCCTGGAGATAGATGCAACTCTGGCCTGGGGAAACTCTGTGTCCCAGGAGAGTGGATATATAGGGGGCGCCCGAGAGGGAAGAGGAGTTGTTCAGAGGAGTACAGGAGAAGTCTAAGACCGTCTGCAGAGTCTCTGGAGAGAGACTGTTTCTTGACTTAGAGACCTAGGTGCTAGGATGAAGGAAAGGACCTCCACGGTAGTTTTCTCAGAGATACTGCCGGTGCCAAGAGCCACTCCGGACAGACAGCGTGAGTTGAGGGAGCTTAACAAGTGGCTCCGGAGCTGGTGTCAGAAGGAAGGTTTTGGTTTCCTGGAGAACTGGGCTGACTTCGCAGTCGGCTATCGGCTCTTCAGCCGAGACGGGCTGCATCTTAATGGGAATGGATTGCGTCAACGAAGATGTTGATTGTCCCTGAATATGATGGGAGGTGTGAAGGTTTGTGAAGCCACCTTGTTCTTGTTCCATCATTCAATCCTATGGTGGGATGTTTCTTTTATTTCTCTGGGGGTAAAAATGTAGGAAACTAATATAGAAGGACTCCAAACAAACGTGAGCAGCTCATGGCCCAACCTTCTGCGCAACCTTTGCCAGTGACAAGCCAGTTATGTAAAGAATGTCCCACCCTCTACTTTTCCTCCCAATGTCACCAGCCCATTCCCATGCAGAGCCTTGCCGTCAACCCCATCTCCATCACTCATGCCAACTACCCCCATCTCATTCCATCAAAGCCAGCTTTTGAGCTACATTTGCTATCCCCTCAGTGCAAAACTGAATCAGCTACCCCCTTCCTCAGTATATCCAGAATTTCCTGATACACAGTCATACCCGTGGCTAGTCCTCTTTTGGTCAAACCCCCCAAAGCAGATGCCCTTATGCACCGAACCCCTAATGCACATGAAGACTTGATGTATTTTGCTTTGAAAGCCCTTTATCCAGCCAAGGCAGATTCCTCACATCAGCTGGTGCTTTCTCTCATCATTCAGACCCAAATGGCAGACTCTCGTGCAGAACCAAGTCCCTCAGCCACCTCCACATTCATTCCATAATCATGCATCCCCTTCTCTACCCCCACACCCGCTGGGCCCCTCTGACATCACAAGAAAGAAACAAGTTATTTTATACCTGCCTGGAACCATGGGCTAGGGTGGCAGTTTGCATTGGTGAAACGTTGGGCCATAGGAGCGCGTGCTTGATTCATGTTGATGCATATGTGTAGCACATCCAATTTATTCAATGGACCCTGTAAAATGTTTTCCTGATTAAGTGGTTGTCAGGGACCAGAGCACCTCTGGGTGGTACTGTGGAGCTGGAACCTGATCCTGCAGTTTCAGTGCTCACCTGCAGGTATCTGCCAGCAATTAGTCGCCACACGGTGCTGCTCTGGGAGGGTATTTAACTTCTCCCTGCTGTGATACCTGTGCCACAGTATTGTTGCCATATCTTGTTTCCTCTAAACCAGTATCCTATCTCCTGTCTCCTGTTACCAGTATCCTGTTTCTGCCTTGGACCCTGACTCCTGAGGTCTCAAGATCTGTGGCTCCCGGCCCTCCTCTTGTTGCCCTGCTCCCCAGCTTATAACTAGCCCTGTTATCTACCGTGTGTGATTTTGCTGTTTGCATTTAGTTTGGCTATTACTGTACACTGAGTGGCCAGTTTATTATGACCACCTGACGTTTGTAGGCAAATGAGCTATAATTTGGCGCTGAAGTTGCTAGAGGGCCAGACCATTATAAATAGGGGAGCAGGTTGGTTACCACGACAGTAGAAGTGATTTGTTTCTGAAGATTCGGGGAAACAACGCGATGTAACAGCCTTTGAACGTGGGATGATTGTTGGCGCTCGGAGCCATGGAGCGAGTATCAGCAAAACAGCAGAATTCGTTAAATGTTCAAGAGGGGCTGTTGTTAAAGTGTTTAAAGACCGGACTGTCAGCCGAAAATCTGGGTCTGAACGTGCGAATTGTGGCCGTCAGCGACTAGTCAATGTTAGGGCAGAACGGAGAGTGGCAAGACTGGTACAAGACAACAGAAGGGTAACAGTGCCGTGTCAGATTCCTCGCATCACCTTTCATCATCTCGTGGAGTCACCAGGCGGCCCAACGGAGTACTGATGGGGTGGTCATAATAATCTGGCCACTCAGTGTATATGTTACTTGTGGGTGGTGGTGGGGTTGCTTGTGTTTATGTGATTTTGGTATGTCTAATAAACTATAAGTTCATAAGCATTGTTTGGTGTGGTCACATATTTGGTCCTCCTGTATAGACATCTGCATGCGGTATGGGGACACCCGTGCACGGTATCGTGATAGTGGTCTTCCTCTGGTGGTTGGGTGCAATATCACCATATGGCATTACGTTTACTTCCTTAACACCCATACATTGGATGATAGCAAGCACTTCTGTGGTTTACTGGGGTTATGGAGTTCGAAGTGGGGGAGCCAAGGTGTACTGTATATGTTAAATTCTGATCTCAATCCAGACACCCAGAGCAACAGGCAGGAGTCCTGGGACATGTGTGCTTGGTGATTGAGCCTATGCTATATCTCTATTTCTTTTAGGTCACGTCCCAGTATGGAAAATGGCAACTTCTCCCAACCATCCGTACTGACGCTCAGATTTGGAGACCTAAAAGCACTGAGATATCTTTATTGTGTCATAGCTGTGTCTGTGTACCTATCAATTCTTATTTTCAATGGCATAGTGATCACTACTATTAAACAGAACAGGAGTCTTCACGAGCCAATGTACATTTTTATATCTGTCTTGTGCTTTAATGGCCTCTACGGGAGTAGCTCTTTTTTCCTCGGTCTCTTTGTGAACCTTCTTCAGGAAACCCAAACTATTTCGTACAGCTCATGCCTGGCACAAGTGTTTTGCATCCACACCTATGGGTCCTTTGAGATGACCATACTGGCAGTGATGGCCTATGACAGTTATGTGTGCATCTGTAACCCGCTGAGATACCCCAGCATCATGACCTCATCGACAGTATTCAAATTGATTCTTGGAGCTTATCTACAGCCTGTAATAATATTTGGCTGCCAATTTATATTCACGGTTAGACTGCCATTGTGTTCCTCAGAAATCTTGAAGATCTACTGTGACAACTGGTCGGTGGTGAGACTCTCTTGCGTTGACACAACGTTGAACAATTACTTTGGAATCTTTGTGACTACAGCTATGCTGGGGGTGAATCCGCTCTTTATATTCTTTACTTATGTTCAGATTTTTAGGGTCTGTGGGAAATCTTCAAAAGCAGTTAGAGACAAGTCCCTTCAGACCTGTACTCTGCACTTGATAAGCATTGTAACCTTCATCCTTGATACCCTCTTTGAGCTCCTCCTATACCGATATGCACCAGAAAAGCTGCCGTATGAATTCAGAGTCATCATGTCTCTCCAGTTTCTGGTGGTGCCACCATTGCTAAATCCTTTCCTTTATGGGGTGAAGATGAAGAACATAAGGACTAAGGTAATAGGTCTCTTTCAGAAGAAAAGGCTTTAAAAAGCTGCACTCCAAGCAGATATACAGCAAAGAACAATTTAACCCACATATGGATTTAATAAAAGAAGCACAGCAACAATGTGACCTCACTGACCTGAACAGGGAGGGTCATCACTATGAGCAAGTCTGGGCTTTCTACCTTTGCCTAGTGCTGTCATTTAAACAGTCTAAACATGCTTACAGGAAAGAAGCGAGGAGAGGGAATGATGATGTCATCAATGTGCAGCTTCTTGGTCATCCAATCACAGACTGGAGTGGTTCCTGGACCAAGCTGGACTACTTAATGTCAGTGGATGTTGAGTACTGGACTGCTGAATCTGGAATTTGTGATTTCAGTATGGCAGAATAACTGTGTTGTCAGCTCAAACAGGAAGTTAGCAGTACATTGGATTTGTAAAAGATAAACAGGCATTGTTTTGCACTAGCATGTATCCCAACCTTCTGAGATCGGAAGGAATACCTCCTAGCACCACGGTCATTCCCTCCGTTTTCTCCTCCTGAGGTGGCCAGGAGAAGGATGGGGTGGCGCGGGGGGCTTAGGGATAAGCTGGGAAGGGAGGCATTTGGTGGCCAAGCGTGGAAGGAGGGGGGGTATCATGCTGTTAGTCACCCCAGGCAGCTTCATTATGGGGACACCCCTGCCTAGCACAATGTGTTTAAGCAATGGGCACACCCCGCCACACCCTCAGTAATGCGGACCTTTTGTAAAGAGACAAAGAAAATTAAAAATGTTCATGTATTGCACAGAGGTACAGAATATGTTTTATATTTTGCCCAGACATTCACTTCAAGCAGAGCTTGAGAGGAAGCTGTAAGATAATTTTCCATGACCACCCTGCTGAGGACCATAGAATACAGTGAAGCTTCAAACATGTGTCTCCTGCTCTTGGTCATGTGACAACAGATAGTATCCCTGCACCTACTGCCCCTGGTTTCTACCCCCCTGCCACAACTGTAAACCTGTTCCTACACTCCAGGTTTGTGTTATGGATCAAATTTTTGAGTGTGGGTCCTCCACCCCAAAGCAGTCTTCCATTGCAAAATGAATGTGTCCTTGGTGTGCCAAATCATTATCTACTCAAGAGGAATAAAACAACAATGTAAACTGAAGCTGTCAATTATTTGTTTGTTGGAATTTCTATCCAGGGGAACCATGGCGTTGTTTTTTTTACTTATTAGACCCTGGGTTTCTGCATTGCATAAAACTAAAACTCAACCCTAGGTTCACTTCATGTTAAATCAGCTAAATACATTGCAGGTGCATCAAAACAAAAGCTGTTCAAAGTCTTACAACATGTTTTCTTTAGAAAATCAGCCACAGCCCAAGTGGAATAGCCTGTCCCCTGCCAGCATGGGGCTCTTTCTCAGTGCGTGGAAGCAGTGGTCTGTCCGCAGAGGTCCAACACATCCCCTGTTGTGCCAGAGCTACAGCTTTCCAAATTAGCAGGGAGCATGAGCTTTCTGATGAGGTCTGACTCAGAAGGAGGCATGTTGGACCTCTGCCGAGAGACCATTGCTTCCCCACAGAGAGCAAGGGTCTCAAGCTTCAGATGACAGCCAGGCTGTGGTTGCTTTAGAAAGAAAACAAACTGTAAGACTTTGCACACCTTATGTTTTGATGCAGCTGCAATGTATTTAGTGGACTTTAGCTGAAGATTCAGTTTGGATTTAAAGGATAAGTGCACTTTAAGCAAAGTATACTTATCCTTTTTGTGCCCATTCCCTCCTTTCCCTGACCTACCTTAGCCCAACGCCCCCTTCCCAGATGCATACTAACCTCATTTTGTGGTATGTTTCCATTCTTTTACGCAAATTCTGCATGTCGGCCACGTTGGCCTGTGCAGTAGCCCCTCATAGACTTCTATTGGACTGTGTCCCGAAGTTGGAGATGCTTTGAAGGTAGCCCTATAGAAGTCTACGGGAGGTTGCTGCTGTGGCCAGTGTGCAGAAGACTTTCTGAACAGGATGCAAACCAACATCAAAGGTCACAGCAGTAGGATAAAGATAAGAATGCATCTGGGATTGGAAAGGGGCGGGGTTAATTCAAGTCAGGGAACTACTTAGATCAGGGGTAGCCAAACTCCGGCCCTCCAGCTGTGGTGAAACTACAAATCTCATGATGCATCTCCCTCCGGGAGTCATGTCTGTGGCTGTGAGAATCTTGCAATGCCTCATGGGATTTGTAGTTCCACCACAGCTGGAGGGCCGGAGTTTGGCTACCCCTGACTTAGATCTTGACTCATTAATGTATATATAAATAGGGGTAATAATGGAATGCAAAAAAAATAATTAAGAATTGAATGGTGGTGTCACGGCAAATCATGGGGATAATAGCAAAGTGCAAAATAAAATAAAATTCAAGAACTTCATGGTGGTGATACAACAAAAACATGGGGATATTACCAGAGTGCTAACTAAAATTAAATTGAAGGATGAAATGGTACCGATGCAAAACATGGAAATAATAATAAATGATACTTAAATTAAGCAGTTCAAGGATGTATTGCTGGCACCACGGTGAGACATGGGAATAATACCGTATTTGCCGGCGTATAAGATGGGTTTTGAGAACTTAAAACGATTTTCGGGGGTCGTCTTATACGCGGGGTACATACGGAAGGATACTGTATACTGTATGTAGCTTTGGCTACATACAGTATACCGCGCTGAGCCAATCAAGGCAGGCTTTGTATTAATGAATACAAAGCCTGTATTGATTAATACAAAGCCTGCCGTGATTGACTCAGCAGAAGATGGAGGACACAGCGGGGATCGTGGACAAGGTGAGAGACTGTAATCCCGAGTGTGGTACTGAAAATTAACCCCCGAGCCACACTCGGGAATACCGACATGGATGTTAGTGGATGCATTTAACAGTCCATTGCTATAATGTGCGGGCAGCAAATGGGTAATCATTTCAATACACAGACAGCAAACTGCCAATTGTGACACTAAGTAGATAACAGATAGACGATGGTAATAACATGAGGGCAACGGACGTGTAGGTATGACAAAATATGGGCAACAAATGGACAAGGATGGCAATGTGTAGGCAACATATGTGACAATCAGGCAATTGTAAGAGTTTGTTGCCAAAAAGTCTACCCTTATCTATCAATAAGTGAGCACATCCTACAAATCTGCATCCTACTAAACATATAAAAAGAACTGACCAACCAGAAATGTCCACAGGGACATAGTCAATATTGTGATGGCAACAAAAAATATGTCCTCAAAGGCACAATCAGTTCCATACTGTCACCCCAGATACATGTCCTCAAAGGCACAATCAGTTCCATATTGTCACCCCAGATACATGTCCTTGAAGGCACAATCAGTTCTATACTGTCACCCCAGATACATGTCCTCAAAGGCACAATCAGTTCCATATTGTCACCCCAGATACATGTCCTTGAAGGCACAATCAGTTCTATACTGTCACCCCAGATACATGTCCTCAAAGGCACAATCAGTTCCATATTGTCACCCCAGATACATGTCCTTGAAGGCACAATCAGTTCTATACTGTCACCCCAGATACATGTCCTCAAAGGCACAATCAGTTCCATATTGTCACCCCAGATACATGTCCTTGAAGGCACAATCAGTTCTATACTGTCACCCCAGATACATGTCCTCAAAGGCACAATCAGTTCCATATTGTCACCCCAGATACATGTCCTTGAAGGCACAATCAGTTCTATACTGTCACCCCAGATACATGTCCTCAAAGGCACAATCAGTTCCATATTGTCACCCCAGATACATGTCCTTGAAGGCACAATCAGTTCTATACTGTCACCCCAGATACATGTCCTCAAAGGCACAATCAGTTCCATATTGTCACCCCAGATACATGTCCTTGAAGGCACAATCAGTTCTATACTGTCACCCCAGATACATGTCCTCAAAGGCACAATCAGTTCCATATTGTCACCCCAGATACATGTCCTTGAAGGCACAATCAGTTCTATACTGTCACCCCAGATACATGTCCTCAAAGGCACAATCAGTTCCATATTGTCACCCCAGATACATGTCCTTGAAGGCACAATCAGTTCTATACTGTCACCCCAGATACATGTCCTCAAAGGCACAATCAGTTCCATATTGTCACCCCAGATACATGTCCTTGAAGGCACAATCAGTTCTATACTGTCACCCCAGATACATGTCCTCAAAGGCACAATCAGTTCCATATTGTCACCCCAGATACATGTCCTTGAAGGCACAATCAGTTCTATACTGTCACCCCAGATACATGTCCTCAAAGGCACAATCAGTTCCATATTGTCACCCCAGATACATGTCCTTGAAGGCACAATCAGTTCTATACTGTCACCCCAGATACATGTCCTCAAAGGCACAATCAGTTCCATATTGTCACCCCAGATACATGTCCTTGAAGGCACAATCAGTTCTATACTGTCACCCCAGATACATGTCCTCAAAGGCACAATCAGTTCCATATTGTCACCCCAGATACATGTCCTTGAAGGCACAATCAGTTCTATACTGTCACCCCAGATACATGTCCTCAAAGGCACAATCAGTTCCATATTGTCACCCCAGATACATGTCCTTGAAGGCACAATCAGTTCTATACTGTCACCCCAGATACATGTCCTCAAAGGCACAATCAGTTCCATACTGTCATCCCAGATACATGTCCAAAATGGCACAATCAGTTTCATACTGTCGTCCCAGATACATGTCCTCAAAGGCACAATCAGTTCCATACTGTCATCCCAGATACATGTCCAAAATGGCACAATCAGTTCCATACTGTCACCCCAGATACATGTCCTCAAAGGCACAATCAGTTCCATACTGTCACCCCAGATACATGTCCTCAAAGGCACAATCAGTTCCATATTGTCACCCCAGATACATGTCTACATAGATTATATGAGATTGTAATGATTGGGTTTACATCTATATTATATGACGCAATAGCTTCAATATGATTTACATAGTTACATAGTTACATAGTATTTGGG